GTAAAGATATAGACCGGTAGCTGTGTGCAAAAATGGGGGGATCATGTGATACAGCAGGAAACCTACTCAGAACGATTTTTTTTGCCCACAGCTCCCGGTCTAATATTCTGGAATACATCACCAGCAATGGGCACAAAGAATTTACCGGTCCAAACTAAATCAGGGACGTGGAAACTGGGGAACCTGGACCGTCAGTGGGAAATATTTTCTACGCCACCGGCCTTTTTGGAGAAAAAAGTGCATTCCATGAAATACCATTCAATTTTCCATAAATTTTGTCTCTTAAGGAATAATTCTTATCAGAACAACCGTTTTGGAGATATTTAGATTTGAATATTTAAAGTCAAATCCCGAAATATTCTTATGAAAAGGCTTAGCCTCCTCTATTCTGAAAACATGATGAAGCTTGATATTGAAAACATGTGGATAAAGCTACGGGACCTCACTACAACATTTATTGAGTACTGTAAGTATCTTATCCTTAATCAATAGCGTAGAAGGTAAGCTTGGTTGAACCTTTCCTGCGCACGCCACTGGTTTTGCCCGAATATTAATTTTTGTTTATAAGGAAACCTCAAACTAAAGAAAATATTTATTTTATAAATAAATAGATAATGCTAATAAGAAATAAACGCGACAACAATAAACATTACATTTTATACGACTTAGATCTAAATTTAACAAAAAATAATGCTGAATAAATATTAACATCCAACCTAAAGAAGGTGTTGTTATTGGAGAATGCCTGGAGTAGTGTGAACAGTGCTGGAAGCATTCTGTATACTTCGTCCTTATACGTGTCCAAGGTTGCTGACAACTTGCGATATCTTCTTTATTGAGCTCACTTGATCCGAAATGCTAAAGAATTCTTAGAAAAAAAGGCCGGTAATTTCAAAACTGAAATAATAATAATTTTACTCAAATTAGTTGATTCCACAATTACTAATTGAAGAGTGTAAGTTCTAAAGGGTCTAAGTGACAAAAACATGTAACCGAGATAATCAAATAAAACTATCTAAGTAATAATTAAACGATATTTTAGCTCTAAGTATATTTTTTTAATATAATCTTACTCTAAGTAAGATCCTTGAGAAGACGGAGTTTGAAAGTATTAACTTCGACTTGAAAAAAATTAAAAACAGAAAATCGTAAAAAGATCTGAGTGCAATTCTGAAAATTGTCTATGTGCCTTATTAGGCTTCTTTACAGGTTTTATATCACCTCGATAAGTTCTGTACTCTAAGCCACTTGCCCTTAGACGTTTTTGTTCCCTTTTCACACTTTCTTCTGCCCTTTAGTTTCGTTCCACTTTCAGTTGAAACATGGAAATGACACAACAGAACAACACTGTCACGAAACCAAATCGACTGTCACGAAACCAAATCTGCTTCGTAGCTTTGGCACATATGAGTAAAATGTATGTTGGCACTTACAGGGACCGCCATCCTTTTGACAGAAAATAAATACCTAAATGAATCGCTGGCACTTACTACCTTTGCAATATTATGGGCAGCAGCGGTGGCCGCAGTAGTAGACTCTTCGGTCTCCTGATCAGTCGCCGTGCGCTGTGCGGGTTCGAGTCCCGTCCCAGGAGAAATTTTTCTCTTGGCTATGGATGTTGTGATTGTCCGTAGGTGGTAGACGGTCTCTGACTGTCGAACGTGGAGGTACCACCCGGCGGATCTCATAGGCGGAGCCAGAATGTGTGCATGTTGCATGCACACTTGTTCCCTCGCCAGAGTCCGTGTGGCGTCCCCCCTTTCCCTGTATCCTCCTATAGCCCCACGGTACCCAATGGGTGTTTAGGCCTTAGGCCTTCGTGGTAGTTGGAGCATAAAAAAAAAATTATTAGGCATGGTACAGAGACCTTTTTCACATGAATAATTGAAAATAATTGTTTTTGGCACTTAGACCGTTTAGAACTTACACTCTTCAATTGTGATTTTAGACAAACAGTTGAATCTAACATGGGTTCTACCAGAAGAAGTACTCCATGAAAACTAGTGGTGAGCACAGACAAGGTTTAAGCGTCTTCGCTACTGATTGAGGATAAGACACGCATGTAATAAAAAATGCTCACACGTATGGGGTGCTGCCGCCCCGACTACATTATTTATGCTTGATGCTGTCCAAAGGAGGGCGGTCCGACTGATCGATGACTCTTCTCTAACAGAGAGTCACGCAACCCTTCCGCACCGGCGGGATGTCGGCGATCTAGCTCTTTTATACCGCTACACCAACGGGCTTTGCTCCTCAGAGCTCTCTTCCATGATGCAGCACCGCGATATGCCTGCCAGACAGACTCGCCTGACTTTGGCCTCCCATCCTAACGGCATCGAACTTCGTACATCCACAACTTGCCGATACTTACGACCGCTCCGACCGGGTGCCGATATTGTGGAACCATCTACCAGAGGGAGCTTTTCCCAGTTCTACTAACCTTAGGTAGCTCAAAAATCGTATTAACAAAATTTCTTTTGGATCATCATAGCAGCCGCGGTGTCCCGGCATTTAGGCTTCTGTCAGCGCGGCTGCTTCGGTATAAAAAAAATAATAATAAATAAATAATAAGAGCATTTTAGGATTTTACCTCGAATACCCAAACCAAAATATCTCCAAAACCAGTGATCTGACAAAAAATTCCTCCACAGGCAAAATGTATAAAAAATGTTCACCGAAAATGCCGGTGGCGTAGAAAATATTACCTACTAGGTGTACAGGCGCCCAGTTTCTACGTTGCTGGCTTAGTTTACATCGGGAAAACTCAGTATGTCCACCCGCTGCGTAGATATATATTTCTTTATAATTTGATAAATAAAACTTCATCATCCTGAGTCTCGATAGGGGTGCATCTTTGGATCCATATTTTTGTTATTTTTTGATGCACTTTCTACATTAGAAATATTAGCACGTCGTTCTGAATACCTACTTTATAAGCGCTATCCAGTACCCCACATTTTGCCTTCGATATAATACTCAACGGAACTAAAGTCTTTTCATGAGTTGCGTTGAGAATTAATAGAGAATATGGTAAACGCCAAAGAAAGAACATTGCATGACTACGTCCACGACGATTAAACCTTCTGGACCAGGTCCCTTGCACAGCCTAAGCGTTTGATAATCCCATCTCCAATTCCCTTACGCAAACTAGGAGCGACTGGGGATGATGCAAAGCAAACAGACCGACGAACGGACGCGTAGCGGCAACTTTCAGGACAGACTCGAATTTGTCGTGATCCGTATGAATATTTGTTATTTGCTGGGGAAGATGCGCTGAATTCCCGGAGCGACGTCACGGGCACGTCCCGGAGTTATTATACGAGCAGCGGTGCATGTCCAATCTCAGCCAGCCGGACGCCTTTCGATCACGTCGCCATCAGGGAGTGGAGGAGGTCGTAAGGGGGTAATCGGAATGCGCGATGTTGCAAAAATATCATCATCGGTATTAACCTCAGCATCCGTACTATGTAACGTTCTATGATCGCCATAACTCATCACTTGTGTACTAGCTAGTCTGATAGCCTACGCCACATCTACTCGTTGTAAGCGCCGCCTATGGAGGAATGGCGCAACGAGCATCTGTTGCCTACAATGCTGCAACCCATATTGCACAAGCATGGCTTGCGAGTTGCAAGCTGCGAGTCTATAGATTGTGGATGGAGCAGTGACTGCAATCTAGTCAGAGGGGACGACAGCTGACAATGCTGATATGCATCCTATTAGTTATATTCTAATATCTAAAGTTGTATTCTTGTTTTTATCAGCTTTGTTCCAACATGCCATCTAAAATACATTTCTTTTCTTGTGGGCTCTTACACCTTAATTCGTTTGTTGTTGACTATTCTCTTTTATCTCTGCGGCTAGCTATTGCAGGGACTGCAACTGCTTTGCTTACTGCAGCATTTCCGGTGACGTATAATATTTCCAATATCTAGCATTTGCTAACAGTTTATAATAAAAATATTCATACAGTGTGTTCAAACCATACTACACATCGAACTAGTTCTGAAGTCAACAGGGCATGCTCAGATCTAAATTACGGTTCCAGCAGAAAATAAAACTGATTCCGTGACTGGATGTTGTCTGTTCCAACAAACTCCTTACTTACTCCGAACTGGTTCTGATACGGTTCTACCAATTCTGGTTCTCAGAGAGAACTAAAATTGGTTAGCGCATGCGCCTTTACCAAATAAATGGCGTCGATCAGATGTTCACAGCTGGGAATTTGCATTTTGTGGCTGCCATTTGTGCCTTTTCAATCTCTCCATATATCAAATATGAACCATTTATTGTGCCATTTATTACACATATTGGAAAAGGGGTGACGATGAAGATTATATTGGAACACATAAAGTAAAGGTTCTAATGAATTCGTGTCAATCATGTTATTAGCAATATTCACCTTATATATTTCTGTCATCTAAAATCAATTAATAACTTGATGTTCGGTGTTGTTAACATTTCACTCAGTCTCTTCCTCTCTTACTGTAGCAGAACAAGCTTCCTCTAAAGGTAAAATGATGATTTTTTTTCCAGCGCTAAAAAAGATAATATTTCATACTATTTTTCCAAAATATTTCACCAGACTATCTGAGGAGCAGACTTTCAGAAAGCATTAAGTGCAGTTTTTACGAAATTGGCCAAAAGATGGCGATCAAATGTATAGGTTCATCTCCATTTGTCAACCGCTCCTTGGACATCCAAAACGATGTTAAACGATAAATATAACGCCCGTTAATACGTCTAGACTTTCAAAGAGCGTTATTTTTTTCTGCGTTGGACAATCAAATAGGCTTTGATAAACTAGTTAGTGCATGAACGCTTTTTGTTTGTCCAGTATATTTTGGATGAGCAGCAAGTAAACCCTTTTGTTTGGACACGAGTCTCAAGATTGTAATCCTGTCGTAACTTGCTTCAGTTAGCATAGTGATATCGACTGGGTTAGATCGGTCGGACCACTATTATGGATGAAGAGCATATTGTTGGTGATCAAGACAGAGGCAGTAGAAAACGAAAATGGGGTGCAACATCACGGCAGCGCCAGAAAGAAATACGGTAGATATAGTAAATTATGTTATTTGGGGAATTTTCTCATAGATTGCGGTTTTATTTCTAGATACGATGACCCTGATCCCAACCTTGATGGTTTAAAAGTCCCCTGTAAGCATGGCAGAAATAAAAAACTTTCATGTAAGGATATTCCTTTCGAAGATCTAAGGCGCTGCCGACAAAAGTTTTATTCACAAAAAGACAAGGTTAAGCAAGATACGAAACTGTCTCATTTAATTGAAATTGGAACTCCTAGGAGAAAGAAACGTTCAGACCAAAGATTTACTAGAAACCGTAACATTACTGTGCATTACAATGTGTGGAGCTCCAACAGCAAGAAAAGAATTTGTCAGAAAATGTTTTTAAAAATTTCTGGTATTAGAAACGTATACAAAATATTTCTAGGCAAATGAAAGCTATTACGAGCAAAGCAGTTTTTTAAAATGATGAAGGAAACATAAACATCTGAAGACGGGATGGCATTCTGCTTCGATCTTCAGCAGGTACAACCTCGCCCTAAAGTACCGATTTCAGAGGCATTCTATGCACAGCAACTCTCCTTGTATGTTTTACTGTATCACAGACATACCTTGCAAGCGACCAATTTTCTACTCATGGTTAGAACACCAAGCAGGAAGGGGTGCCACAGAAGTTGGTTCTGCTCTTTACGATTTTCTCAGAAAGGCTGAATTTCCAAAAAACTTGAAAGAATTGACGTTGTTCTCTGATAGATGTGGAGGCCAAAACAAGAACAGTCACATAGTTCACATGCTAATGATGTGGCGACATAAAGAAGCACCAAAAGGCCTGCAATCTATAAGAATGGTTTTTCCAATAAGAGGTCATTCATACCTGCCAGCGGATCGCATTTTTGGACGATGTGAGAAGCTTATTAGATCCCATAGCACACTAAAATATATGACCTGAAATCCGCTTTGTCCACTTTTAAGAAAATCGAAACAATCAGTCATGCTAAGCGAATTTTGATAAAATGGACTTCAAAACAACATGTAGCGGTGAAAACAGAAACCTTTTACAGAAATGACGATGCCAACGCCAAGTACTTGACGTTGTTAAAAAAAACAAGAAGATGGAAAACTTGAGTTTTCCAAGGTTGCCTTTGAATCATGAAATAAAAAGGACAAAGTTGAAAAGTTTGCATAACCTTTTGGTGCAGCTATCCACAGAAAGATGGCGTGAGGATGAGGAATTGCAATGGCTTCGTCCTATTTTTCCAGAGCCACTTGAAGAGCTACAAGAGAATAGTGATGAAGACAATGATGAAGATAATGCCCAAGAAGTATGTAACTGCATCGAGGATGATGTTGGAGTGAAAGTTTGAATATTTTTCTCTAAGCCTATTTTTTATAAGATTGTATTCATCGGTAAATGGAATAAAGGTATTTTTACTTAAGTTACCGTTTCCCAAACAGAAGGACTTATTTCACCTTCGGACAAACAAAGTGCATCAAATAGAATCTACTTTTGGTCAAAAAATAGAATTTCTTTGTTTTCCAGGTAATCCTCCTTCACCATCAAAGCCTATCTATTTTCGTGGTATTTGATTCACCAAAATCAAGCATTTGCAGCTATGCATGTTGTCACAGCAGTTTTTTCCACTTCTCAATTTATGCGGGTCATAGCACAACGCCTTTTGAAAGTCTGCTCCTCATCTATCTTCTGCTGTTTGTTTTCTAAAAAGGTATGCAGTACGTCAAGAATTATCCATGTAATTATTTGTTTAACCGGAATAGTTTGGAACTAGTTCTGAGCTGTATTTACCTTGAACACGGGCAGAAAAGTAATTCGGAATCAGTTCTGAGCCAGTTCGAAACTGCTTGTTGAAACAAACCTGTTGCCAATGACAAAACCAACCATTATTTGGGTTATTGATAGCAACATGGATTTCCCGATGTCTTAGCTATGATCACCGATAATCCGAAATTTGCTTAATAAAAACATCGATGTTGGGATATGGATGTTATACCCTTAAAGATAGATATTTGTCGAACATCGATGATTATCGCCTATCGTTAGGGAGTAGTAGCGTAACGGGAGGCATTCCTAGTCGCTGATACTTTCAAGTCAAACTCCGCCAACTACCTAGGGCTTAGCCTAGATAAGGGTATGGCTTGACGGGGAATATGAAAACATTGCAAGAAAAGTCCGAGATTACTCCTAAGAATAAATTGTCGTAGATTTTTTTCTTCAGGAGTTATAAGCCATACTTCTAAATGAAAGTTTTGGAAACTTGAGGTTTTTTGTCCAATTTTACATCAAAATTGGTCTCTTCTGCACCTATAGCAGTGTTATTAACCATAGTACGAAATGCAGATTTCTTTTAGGCTAAATGAGCAGCACATATGTTATACCACCTGACAAAGTGTCCCTTATTGTCTATGTTTTCCTAGGTGGTGACAATGTGTGAGGTAAACTCCAATTTGGATAATAGGGGGCACGTCAAGAGTTTGATGTGGCTTTTTATCCATATGATCTGACTTTCGCCTCAAAGGACTGCATTTTGTAACAACACTGTTCTTGATGCTGGTTGATATAAAATCGGACAAAAAGGACCTCTCCTTTTCAAAACTTTAATATAAAGGTTTGGCTCATCCTCACATTATTTCTAAAAAGCCATCTGGGCATACCGCTACATGGTCACAGAGACCACCAGATTTGACACTTATTGACTCCTTTTGTGGGATAACCCAGGAACATAGTTTACATTGATGCTCTTAGGAACAACGTATCGTATTTCATTTGGAAGTACCACATGATCTTTAGAAAACCGTATTGTGATTATCGACTGTTTACCGAGTAACTACCATAACTATAAGTAATATTAATACACGTTCCAACTCTGACTCCACCTACGTTTTCCGGTAGAACATTATCCTCCATTTGAAGATATCTAGCCAATGCATTCAAAGCATTTACGATGTCCACTCTGGATTGTGGTTCATATAAAAATTGGAACGTGGATTATTGGAAAATATGTTTCTATATGCGAGATAATACAAAACGTGCATCATTGTTTAAACAAAGGGCGGATCGGGTGCATACTAAGCCCTTAATCCCTTTTGGAGAGCCCTTCGTAAAATGGATCATTTATTATTTCATCGGGAAATTTAAGTCCACCTGTATAGAGCGACACGATATGCATATATGAATAGGTACAGTGTACTTGAAAAGAGGTATCGATGGGTGATTGATCCTACTTCATATCCTAATGCTTGATGGATAGAGTGAGCTATCAGACCTTTCCGCTCAAACATTATCCCCTGTCAATAATACGAATTTCCTACTTTACAGGTCTGTTAAAAAATAACAAAAATATGTCGCCCACCTGTTTTCTAGACCATTTCGCAAAAACTATTAGGGCTACCAAGATAGCAAAGCGTCATTCAAACATATGTGATTCCATTTAGCTGCAAGAAAAACATGGAGTTTTATCAGCATGAAAACCACAGGATACGTTTCAGATGTATAATGAATACTATTGCTATGATCTCGCGCACATGCTCTGTTTTGGACACAAGTTAGTACGGTCATCATCAGTCGCCAGACAGTGTAGTTGTACAGCAGTTGAAGTTGCTTTTGCATTTGGGTGTCGATGCAGTCTTTCGTTGTGTCTGGCTCTTACATTCTTGATGTCGAGATAACCAGAAGGATATTTCCGCAGACATGGGGCTCCCACTTGAGCCTGGTATCAAGGGTCACATCTAAGTATTTAGAGCTTTTCTCCAATGGTATGATGGTGTTGTAATAAATTTGTGATCTTGGGCTCTTACTCCCATAGTAAAACACCTTAATTCATGTAGGGTAACTTTACTCTGATTAGTATTTGTTGCTAGGTACTGCAAGGTAGTTGCGGTCATACCTCTGCTTACAACAGAATTTTCAGAGGCGATTATTACTTGAAAACTCTAACGTTTGTTAACAGTTTCTATTAACAATATTGATACAGTGTATCTGTACCATATTACAGTGTCACTAACGCTAGCATTATTTTATATTTTTCATTATAGTGCTTTTAGTTTCCCGTTTGGCTGAGTGTCACGTTCTAACATCATGTTACCTTTTTTTTTTACTATTTTGATCACTTATTAGTAATTTGAATTTCTCCTTATTAATGGTAGAGTGTCGATTCCTAGGCCAAACCCTTTTAATCATTTTCTTTTATCAAATGTCATAGTTTATTGGTTGTATAATTTCACACGTATTATATAATTCTTTCTCAGCGATTCACTATTGTTGAAATATTTTGGACACTAATGCTAGTATTATTAACGACTATCTCAGAAATGTCCTGATAAAATATCGTTGATCCCTCGTCAGCTGGTTTCGCCCATTGGCAACCAGCGCCACCTTGTGACTTCTGCGCGTACTAGTCGTATAGGAATATTTGCTTTCTTATCAAGATACCTTCTTTTAAAATTTGATTTCCGATCATGATCCCTTTTTTAAGGTGCTGCGTGTGCAGACTGGTCCAGTGCCATTTTTTCTTATCTTTCTACTGAGGTATGGTGCTGGGCGTTGTTTCATTAACATTCAAATTCTGGGATATAGGACTCCCAAATACCAGTTTATGGAGTAGTACTCTTTATTTTGTACCTTACGTTTAGTTGTTTTGGCTTGGGTGCTACCCTGTCCATTTTCTAATGGAATTTAAACCTTCAGCGTGGCTGTATCGCAGCTGATTCTGTTGGAAGCGACCCCTTCCCCTTGACAAAAAAAACCCTGATTTGAACAGGGCTTTTTATACCGTAAATTTGGGGAACGAGGCAAGCAGCTTCTACATAGTGACGTGCTCACTACTGGCCACTAGTTTTTGACCTGAGCGTTAGTGAGCTGAGGATATCTCAGCTGCGCCTAGAGCCGTAACTGGAAGAAGACCATTATCCAGATAAGTTTAGGTTTAGGCGTAAACATATTTGTAAAGCATATATTTGTGAAGCTTTCGTACGTATACCATGGTAAACGTTTTGCAGAGTTAATTATCACGGTCTAATAATTTTATTGTCAGGTAGTTTCTTCTAACTTGCACTCCAGTGTTGTGCTGCTTGTTTTGATAATAAATTGTGATTCTTTTTTAAATATCTTGTTTTATTTGGCTCTCTTTGTACATTTTATTAGGTTTTGTCATTACTGTGAGACTATTTTCTTTTGTGTGGGTGGTCAGGTAAAACAGGTTCCGATTAACACCTCGGAGATTTGAGGCTTAATCCGACTTAAGTCACTGGCACTCTTAACCGCGCCTACTCTCCGCTTTATTGAGCTATGGCCTAAATTTTCATGAAACTATACAGCTTTTTTGCATTAGCTCACTCTAAGATTTAATTTATAGTGTTTTATCAATGTATTTATTAATTGAATAAAAAAAAGGAATCACACCGGCTCCAACTTGTTTATAAAAAAACTAGGCTACGTTTATCACCCATCATTTTATTTATTGCACAATGTATAACTAGAATTTTTGTCGGTATCTCCTACACAGGATATTGCCGGAACAAGAAGACATGTTGTATGCTGTTGGGCTTACATTTCCCGCCAAAGCATGTTGGCCCCTTTTGTTGCCAACTTGTAGTATTTTCGTGACATCTAAGCCAGTTCGTTACTAACTGGCGTCTTGAGGGTGTTGGTTTTTTTTTCGCTACAATGTCATTAACTTTGAAGAATGAGTACTGCAATGCACCTTTGTTAGATTTTTCTGAAAGATCATAAGCATATTACAACATAACAGACAACGTAAAAGACCAGGGAAGTATCTTTGCATCCGATAGAAAAAATATTCCGTTTTTTGTTGCATAGCCTTATTCACAAAGAACCACTTTTAACAAATTTGCATGTTCCAGACCCAAAATTGTCAGTTTTCTCAGGTGTCTTGGGTCATCATCATACATTTTTCTCTTAAGGTAAATAGTTTTTGAAATGAAAAAAGAACATACGGTAATAATGCTGGCAGTCGCCATGCTGCATCTCTCTTGCGCTGACGTAGAATATAATAGTAATTTATTTACATTAAGAAACAAAGAATTAGAATAACTATGGTCCCTTAAGAACTTCGAAATCTTATAATTGGATGTTCAAGAACGTTGGTATCATTAAATTTTTCATTGTTCATATTGTGTTTAGGGAGTGGCTAGTGACATACTTCTTAATTTTTGAAATAAAAAATCGCTTATGCCTTGAAGACAATCAAGCTTAGGGAAATTCGTTTAAAAAATAGTTCAGATAAATTTTGAGGCAATTTTGGGCACAATACTATCTAGAATCATTAAAAGGGGTACTTTTTGAATCATATCATGCAAGAAACATAATTAAATTATTATTCTGCGCTGATAAAAATATACTTTACATTAAGAAACAAAGGATTAGAATAACTATGCCCTCTTAAGTGCTTCGAAATCTTA